ATACACAAGTGCGTGACTTGGATAAAAAGTGCAAATATCATACAAACTTTGCTATTCAACCTATTATCATATCATTATCGGTTAATCATCTATACGTTGTATCTCACCCATCATGATCCGATTGCTCGTAACCTTGAAACCGAGAAGAGCTGGATCGATTTGCCTACCTTTCTTCCCCTTTCTTTTGTTGTTTCGGGCTACTGAAGCTGAGGCAGTCCCAGCATCGGTGAACTCAGAATGATATTCGGGAGGAGGCTTCTTGGAGCTGCTGCTGCTCTTGAGCATGTCACTGAACGACGTCTCCATCACATCCTTAGCATCATTACAGGATGATGTCCGCCGAAACAGAACCGGACTTCTTCCGGATGATGCCTCTACTGCCTTGTTTCCCGCATTACTATTAATGCTACTTCCTCCTTCTCGTCTTGCCCCTATAAATCAACAAAAATCCAGAGATTAACATTCGACACCCATATACACTAATTAAACATTCAATCATACATTTTATTAGGCAAGAAAAAAAAAAAACTGCACGGTACTGCAGATTTCACAACAGGTTATCACGAAGGAGATCAAATTAATGCTATATGAAGTAATATGGTTACAAGTAGAAAATTGAACTTGCAACTTGGAGTCAACTACTTGGGTTAAAAAAATGGCAAAGAGAGAACAAAGACAACAGTTTCTGTACAATAAGAAATGTTTGATCACAGCCCTTAATATAGCCGAAAGCAGAAATCACTGCTCCAACAATCAGTCACTAAAGCTAGAAAATTTATTTAGTAGAATGAAAGAAGCAAAGAAATACCAGAGATTCAACCTACCATCAGATACATCATTTAAACGATCTTTTCCCCTGGCTGAAACAGCTGATGCACTGAGCTCAGACAACCCTTCCTGAGAAGATGAAGTTCTTGACACTGGCGGACGTCTCAGCAACAAATTTTCTGGTCCTTTTAAATGCAAAGATCGCAACCTGTTTACACACACACAGACACAAAAAAAAAATAAAAAATAAAAAATAAAAAATTGCAAGAGATCAAAATTAAGATGGGCATTCAACCAGCCAAAATGTGAGATGCAGAGAGGACTCAGCAAGAAATTTGAACTAATTTCTGAAGCATAATTTTCAAATTACGAAGACAATCCACATAGTGCACACAGACATGTTATATATTCTGAAGGTGAGAAGTTCCTTGGGCAAAAAGATGTGCGCATACCATCTCAGTATCAGGCTTATATATATTATGCATGGAAATACAGAGTTCCACAAATCAAGGAGTTCTACACTCTTTCCTGTCTTGTTTGTTCTTTTGTTTTCAGTAATTTGAAAAGAATGTAGTCCACCACGGTACAGAATGTGAGAGGATTGTAGGATACTGACAAGTATCAGAAAATACCAAGCATATATCTCACCTATCCTTAGTAGTATCCTCCAACAAGGAGTCGCCTGATCCAGTCTTCTCAATGGGAGAACCTGATTATTGACCCCAGTTTGTTACTATTTAAATTGGAA